TGGGAAGTGGTAAAAATCAAATTAATATGTGGTCATTAGACTGTCTATTTATTAAAGATATAATGTTTTTGTATGTTCTCCTGAGATCTTTAAGATCATCTTGTTAATTTAAACTGTTACTGTTTTAATTAATATGGACTGTTTTGAAAATAAGTCTTTTTTTTCAACTGTTTTTTAAATCTATAATTTTAATGTTGTCTTTGCTAAACGTATGTTTTGGTTTCCATATGTGTACAGATACCATTGAGCAGCCGTTTGAGTGAATGTTTTTCTTTGATATTATTTTTAGTTAACGTTTGATTTGACCTACGTATTCAGTGTTATAGTTATTGCATTTCAAGCGGTTGCTACGTTGCGTACGTTAAGGCCAGATATTTTGCCCTATAGCACCTCGGGCACTGGAAGAGATGGTATAGGCCGAGTCCGTCAGTCTACATTCGATATTAAAAGCGGGTGACTCATCTGCACATGGGGATCTGGGGATTCCAGCCACCTAGTTCTAACTATTTCCAATCGCTCGTAAACGCGTACTTCTAAGCGCTAATCATTAATATTGCCCGGACCCTCAGCAATTGTTCAGTTGCATGCAAGTACCAGAATTACACACTGGATACTTGAGCTTTACAATTTTGGGTGAAGAAAAAAAGGAAAAAAAAATTCCAAACTTAATTTTTATTCAATAATCAGGTGCAACCTGTGCTCTAAGAGACAAGGTTCTGATTCTCTAAGATTGCCACTAGAAGATGTAACGTGATAGGGAACTGAATGCTTTTGTCCGTATGGATGGCTTTTATACAAAATTTTCACCCGTTCGTGTTGTCACTTAAGAAGGGTTTGGCAGGAGGAGTTTGAAGCTTCCTAATGACTTTCAGTGAAATAAAGCTGGGCCAAGTGTCTCTTAACCAATTGTAAAAGCACACATGTAGGCCACCTCTCCAACGTCCAGCTGTTATCGTGTTCAAAAAAGGAAAAAAAATTTTGGTGTTGCTTATCTCTTTTTACCTTTCCTTACATAAGTGAAAATCGTTGTATTCATGGATTGCCCTATTTTGCTTAATCAGTTGGTCCTGATATAATTGCACTGATACTCATCTCAGCAAATAAAGCTAGTGCCAATTTGAACGGTGAAAATCGGCCTATTCAGTGAAAAATTGCCAGAGGGCAATTGACGGTTTGGGCTTTATTCCTTAGTTGTATTGCTATTACTTATTGCTAAAACATTGTGCATACCGTTACCTTGGCAGAAAGTATGATCAAGTAGCGTGCACCGTTTTTAAATGAGTTTAACTAGATTGCACAGTTGACCGTTTCTTTGTTCTGGTTGCTTGTGGCCACACTTATATGTGCGGTGTGCGTATGTTATGAATATTTTATAATGTTCTTACGTGTCGACTTAAGTAGTAAGTTAATTTTGAAAATAGATATATGGTGCACTGCTACTCAAAGTTATACGCTAAATAGTATTTACTACGTCTAACATATTAGTTTTATCCTCACCCCAACAAATTAAGCTGCTAAGTGTATTGTTGATTTTGCGCACAAGTAAAAAATTTATTTTTGCCTAATTTTTCTTAAATGTATTTAACAAGTTGTCATTAACAAAGAGGAAGGTAAAAACACGAGTAACGTTATAACTATTATTATTTGATAAGCTATTAATATTTTGGCTGTTTGAAATATTAGTTTTGTATTTGTGTCAGCGTTGTTTTATTATGGGATCGTTACTTTCTCTTGGCTCATTGTTCTGACTTAGTACGGATTAAACTTTTGATAAATGATTATTGTAAAATATTTAATGTAAAAGTAAAAATTCTTTATCAAGTGAACTAAGAATTATGTTTTCATTTAAAGTGATGAGATGCATGACTTAAGTAAAAACTTAGAAATCGGCCTAATAACGTAGGTTTGGAGAACCAATTTGTGATGATTGTGTTGCTACTATCTATAACAATCGCGATATCGAAGAAGTTTAAGGATTGATTATTTTGCATTTCATAAGTAAATTAAAGTTTCCCATCATAGCTATTAAAAATCATTTAGGATTTTACTATTATAATCTGATGGTACACATAAGAATGTATTTTTTAATATATCTGTAATAAAATAATCGAATGCAATTAAATTTAATTTTATTCTTTTGTTAACATTAAATGTCAAAACTTAAAGTAAATATTGAATGGAAAACATAGTACAAAAATTTTGAAACTGGTACATAACAAGAACAACAACTAAAAGAATGACATTGGGGTAAAACACACCCACAACAGTAGTGACTAAGGATTTTAAAGTTTACAACCGCTTCTATTTTTATCTTATCTTACTGATTGTGCAATATTAAATAATGTTGTTGATGTTGTAAATAAAGGTCCAAGATTATGTTTAAGAATAATCTACTACACAAAAGCAAGAATGTGCTGAAATTATGAAAACTGTAGAACCTTGTAAAAAGTTTCTATGAATCACAGACCAATGTGAAGATAGAGTAAGAACTATTTTCTAGTCTAATGTTTGATAACACTCAAAATATTAAACATATTCTATTGAAGGACAAGGTTAAAGTCAAAATAATTAAAATAACCAATAACTTTTGCCAAAATAATAATAATATACTTTCTACTATATCAGACAAAAGTGATCTTACGGTAGCAAGAACAAAATTTGACAACAACAAAAAAATGCATGATTTACTACAGGACTACCAATTTTATGAAGAACTTAACAAAAATTTTCCTGAATCACGTTACAAGAGAATGTTTTCATAACATTTAATGATCTAAATGGGAATAATTGACTTTGCCTAAAATACGTAATGTTAGTCTTACTTAGACTAACAATCTACTTGCTGGAATGTACAGTCTACCGAAAAAACACTAACTGAACATTGCTTTCAGATTTATAGTCTTACTCATTAACAGTCTGACAAATTACTTATCTAAAGTGCAAAACAATAACTTTAATAGAGAAAAGGATCCTCTAGCTGTAATAATAACTGACAGTAAAGAAGTTATCGAGAAAATTACAGATCTTCATATAATAGCCAAGAATAGTTTTATGTCATCGGACGTTGAATCATTCTTTACTTATATTCTCACTAAAAAATGTAAATAACGTTTTAATGCTGTAACTTATGTAACCAAATTTTTATTTAGTAATCTTTTTTTCAGTTTTAAAAATAACTTTTACCAACAGATTACTAGGGAGCCCGTGGTGTTACCTATTCTAACTATTTCCGGTGATTTGGTCACGACAGATTTGGAGAACCACTACTCAAATATTCTAAAAAAAGTTTTAAGTGCACCCTATTGCTCTATTGAAGATATATTAATGATGCCATCTTATGTGTTGTAATACTACTTCTTGATCTAAAACGAAAGGAAGCGCTGACGCAGCATTAGCTAATTTCGATTACGTTCGTCACATTCATCTCTCTCACCTCTTGGGTTTCTTTCCCTGAAGAAGGGAGATTAGCGTGGAAGTACTCCCGTTCTACGATGAGAACTATTAGTTTAACACACAACAAATACCTTTAACTATTTCTATATTCAATTACTTACACTATAACACAGTATCTTGGTACACAATACTCTACACAATGCTTTACTTCGTCCTTTGGACTGCCCCGCAGTGACTTTGTCGCGCACCCCGCAAGCCACGAGCTCTCGTCCACCATGTCCTGCCTGTCCTGGACCAAGAGGGGCTTTTGCTTGTCCGAGACCCCACTAACATACACACACTAACACTCCGTCTACAATCCTAGACCCTAATATATTCTCTCTCTCCCCTCTCTTTCTCTCTCTCTTTCTCTCATCTGCTAGACGTGTCATTTTTTGGCTCCGCAATTTCCTGGTCCCACACTTGCTGATACCTCCTGTGGGAGTTCTTTATTTTAGGTGAACCTCTTCCAGGAGCCAGGTTGGTTTGCACCGTGCTTATATTGTGCCTTTTGCCTCCTGGGGCCTGGAATCTACGTCTGTACTGAGTTGCGGTATTCGAACCTCTTCACGTCTTGCTGAGTGTATCCTCGTGTGTCCAAGCTGATCCGCTCATTCCGATGACGGACGTGCTATTTAGATCGTGCGGCCTGATGAATATTTTTGACCTTGATGTGCAGCTGTGCTTACCCTGGTTGCTGGAAACTAGTGGATGCGGATGATTAGATCGAGTCCTCGCCACCTCTTTAGACTGGTAAGCTGCACCGTCTTTTGTTGGCTGGCAGAGTGCCTTGTGGCCCTTGTGGAGCTTTAGGCATCTGCGATCATTGCGGGGCCTGGATTGTATCGAGATTTTTGTAAGCTCTTCTCCTGGGTGACTCCTGGGGCTGATTGAGCCGGGCTGGACACTTCCTACTTTACCGACTTGAGGAAGCTAGGGGGTTTTCAGTTATTGACTGACAGACTGGGTGTTTTTTTTTTTAAATCACTCGCGGAGAAGAGAGTTACATATTTTGTGACTGGTTGTTTCGTATTATTTTTAATTTTGTATATAATTCTGTATATAGTCTTTTCGTGGCATAGTGTTTACCTGTGAATTTTGTTCTCATATTAAGTGTGTTTTGTCTTTATTACGACTTAATACATAGCATACACACGCTAAAGTGAGACAGACGCCTTGACAATTTTACCTTGATTTGTTGATTCTAAAGTGTCTATTATTGCTTTTATGTTCCAATATTATTATTTGATTATTTTAGAGTTTTGCCCCATTTCATCTGTTAATAAATCATTGTGTTGTAATTCTTTCGGCTTTTAGTTTGTTAATTCAATGAGCAATACACAGATTACTTGCTATAAATATACAAGGCCTATAATTCATAGAGGTAAGACTTGCTTTACCTGCCAGAAATCGTTTCATAATCAATGTATATTGCGCTATTTAAAGGTAATTTTATGTAATAGTTGCTGTGCACGTTCATTCAGTGACACTGCTCGTCGGAATAGGGACGTGCCGTAGCGTGGATCATCACAGCCACAGTTGGAGTCACGTGCGCGCTTGATTGACAGTGTTGGTGGAGTTGACCTGGCCCCTAAAGAGCATTTGCTCGTGGATTCTGAGCCACAAATGGACCCTGTGAATGCGATGACTGGCGTAGTTAAGAGCGAACCATCTGGATCTATTGCTTACAACGCTGGTCCACAATACGACATTGTGATCGGGGCTGATGGATTGTCATTGAGATGGAATTTGCAGTCTCCTGCTGAACATATGGCTATGCTTTTTAAAGCCATCACGAAGTCAAGTGCTGAAACCAATGTACGTTTGCAGCGCATTGAGACCCAGATTAACGAAAATACAGATGATTTGAGCCGGCTGCATGACGAGCATGCATAGTTGAAGGCCACCCTTCAGCGTGTGGTAGATGTGCAGAGGAATCCAGCTACTTCCTGCCAACTTGAGATCATGGGTGTGCCGGCACAGTATAAGATTAATCCGCGTGAATTCGTGCAAACAATTTTGATTCTTTTACAGTTGCAGGGTCTTCTTTTGGACGTGTTAGAGGTGTGCACGTTCCCTACTAAACGTGAATCGATATCATCGGATTCGGGTGACATTGGGGCACGTGCCGCTACTGGTGCAACATGCTCATTTCAGATTACATTAAATTTGGGCCCAACTCGCGATCATATTTTAAAGACTTTTAAGAACTTTGGCAAATTAAGCTTTTCACAATTATACAATAATTATACTGGTGTTGAGGTTATTAAACTGTACGAGCTTCTTCCACGTGCTACGCATTCCCTCCTAATGAAACCAAAATCCAAAGCTAAAAGCGTTAATTATAAGTTTGTTTGGGCCCGAGGCCGTGAGGTTTATGTGCAGCGTGATAAAAAATCTGTGCGACAGAATATCTGTACCGAGCCCGATTTGGAAACTCTTCATTGACTATCACGTTCTTTGCATTGTACGGGTGTTCGGAATTGTCGACCTCTTCGCGTGGCACACGCTAATGTGAATTCTTTACGTGAGCACTTGCATAAGATTCGGTATCTTCTTCATTGCTTTAACATTGATGTGCTGGCAATGTCCGAGACTTGGCTTACCCCAGCTCAATGTTCCACCTTATCTAACATACCACATTATAAACTTGTCCGTAACGATGGGGGTCTTCAGGTGGTAGGGGGTTGTTGTGAGTATGTTCAGGGCGGTGGAGTCGCATCTTACGTGCGCGAAGATATTAATTGTCGCATAATTAGATCCTCGCAAATTTTAAGGTTGAACGAGACGGAATACCTGATGTAGCATTTCTTGGTGCGGGAGGGTTTTCGTCTTTTTTTCACCTCAATCTATCGGCGCCCTAAGGGAGATGTGCTCACGGATTTCTTCACTGTCCTCCAGGATACTGCTACTCGATTTTCCGATATTGTTGTTGCTGGAGACTTAAACTCTGACCTGCTACGGCATGAATACTATTCGTCTCACCTGCACAATCTAATAGCCGAGAATTCGTTGTACCTTGTTCCCTTTGGAGCGACACATCATTGTGATGCGACCCATACCTGGTTGGATGTGATCTTGACAGGCACGAGAGACAGGGTCTTGTCTTCGCGATTATCTGATGTGCCTTTCATAAATAGCCATGATTATCAGATTGTGGACTACAATATTTCCTTCATTCGAAGGGATGTGCCATGCATGACGCGTGACTTTCGGTTCTTTTCCGCGTCGGATTTTAATGGCGATGTTGCCATTGGTCAGTGGGTTCGTGCTGAGCGGCTTCACGATTCCGGTATGGTGGATGATGTCAACTCTTGCCTGGATAATTTCTATGTAACGGTGACTGATGCGCTTGATCTTCATGCACCGATGAGGCTGCGTGTTTCGAGCCACCGTCCACCTGCACCTTGGTTTGATGCGTTGTTAAAGGACAGATGCAAGCAGCGTGATCGTTTGTATGGGGTGGCTCGTAGAACTGGTGATTTGGCTTTGCTCGCCGAATACCGCCGTTTGCGTGCGGTTCTAAAAAAATATATTAGCGCTGCTCGTGACAGGTTTTTGGCGAAGGCTTTGGAGGATGAAAGAAATCCTGCCCGCTGCTGGCAGATTATGCGCAGACATGGTCTTCTTCAGCAGACCCAGGGATCTCCGTTGCAATCTTTGTCTGCTGATACGGTGGCACGGTACTTCTCTTCTACGTCGTGTGCTCATCCTCCTTATAGTGTTCAAAAATTAAGGGAAGTCTTGCTGCAGCCATCTAACGTTGTCTCTGAGTTTTCGCTAGCTCCGATTTCGCGCGTGGAGGTTGGTCAGGCTATCATGCAGTGTTGTGGAAAGACCAAGGGCCATAGTTTTGACGGTCTGTCGTTTGCTTGTTTTCGTGAATCACTATTCTTTTTAAATTCGTTTTTGACACACCTTTTCAATATGTCGTTTGCCACGTGCACCTACCCATCGTCCTGGAAGAAGTCTGTAATCGTCCCTCTTTCTAAGGTACCTCATCCGATTGACCCTTCTGACACCCACCCGATTGCTAACCTTACCCATTTGGCTAGGGTTCTTGACGTTCTAGTTGCGCGAAGAGTATATGATTATCTGGAGGAGAATTCCTTGCTATCGCCAATGCAGTCGGGGTTCCAGGCTGGCTTTAGTACCCAGACTGCTTTATTGAAGATCACCGAAGATATTCGCCTTGGTATGGAGCATGGCATGGTGACCATTTTAGTCTTGTTTGATTTTCGAAAGGCGTTTGATTCCATTGGCCACGAACTATTGTTGCGAGAGATGGGTGGCATGGGGTTCTCGGCGGACACTCTGAAATGGTTTTTCTGTTACCTGTCGGATTGCTTGAAAGAATGCTCTCAGGTGGTGGTGAAGCCCGATGGAAGACACACGTCCTTCATGCTGGCCACTTCTGGGGTACCCCAGAGCACTACTTTGGGTCCGGTTTTATTTTTAATTTTTATCAACTCTATACTCTCCGTCCTCCATCATAGCGTGGGTGTACTCTTTGCTGATGATTTACAAATTACCATCCAGTGCAAACCTTCAGACCTCCACAAGACAATTGGTGTACTCAACGACGACATTGAGAGCATTGTATTTTGGTCGTCGGCTCACGGCTTGGCACTGCACCATGGCAAGATCTTGGTGACCCTTATCGGTACTTGCCAGCAATCGATGCGTGTGGACGAGGTGCTTTTGCCCCCCATCTTGGTCAGCGGAAGCGTGATCCCTTTGTGTAGTAAGATCAAGGACCTTGGCGTGTTGATTTCTAATGACCTGCCCTGGAATGCACATGTCTCTGCTATTTGCTTCCGAGTCCACGGTACACTATACAGGTTGCGGTACAAGGGTCGATCTTTCTTATGTAGAATCAAATTGACACTGACAACGACCCTCATCAGGCCCCGCTTTGATTATGCCTGTTTGGTGTACATGAGCCTCTCTGGTTACCTTGCCATTAAACTGGACCGTCAGTGTAATACAGTATTGAGGTATATTTTTAACCTCCGCCGTGATACTGCTATGTTGCCTTATTATGCTAGGTTGGGTTGGCTACGCTCTAGTAAAAGACGGGACTATTTTCTTAGTGTAGCAATATATAAAGTTTTAACCACTCAGAGACCTGAATACCTGTACAATTTGTTCCCAAGGATTTCTGATGGGATTTTGGAAAACTATTCCAGCCTCTATTCGCTTAAAGGAAAGTATCGGGACGGTTAAGATGGCCCTACACAGGTATTTCCTTTCATCGCGTCTTAAATAAATGGTTCTTATGGATCAAAACGTTTTATTAACTAATAATGTCTAAGGTAACTTGTAATTAGTCAATCTCTACTTATCTGTACAAATAGGTAACTTGTTGCGCTTGTGGTCTGTGATTTCTCTTGAATAGGATATTTATGCTACTCAATATTTATGTTATGTAACTAAATGTCCTCCTTTACTATATTGTTGTTGTTAAACCTTGAATTTTACTGAGTACTTTGAAATGACATTTATTATTTATGGTTAACCTAAATTTGGTCATTTATTGTATTTATAATGGTATTGTAAAACTCTATTGTATTATGTATATGCTATTGCCATTCGGATACCTTATCCTTGGCATTAATAAACTATGTTTCAATTCAATTCAATTCTCTCTCTAACCTCACTTCCTAGTCAAACGTCCGCGAATCCAACTCAGCGCGATGTTGTCTGGAGTCCTCAAGCGGGTTGCTCGTCCTACAGCTTTACCCTGTCTCTTCTCTCTCTCCCTCTCTCTCTCTTTTACCCTCTTCTTCTTTTTTTAGCGGCCATAGTCCTCGACCTGGAGACCTTGTCGTCTGGGGAGAACACAGCAGCTTCTAGACTCGCACGCACACTCCTCTTATTTCTCTCAGCACTTAATTCACCTTCTCGGAAACTCTCTCAACTCTCTCTTCCCCTCTGTCTCTTAACTCTCGCCACGAAAACCCGTAAAATCACCGAAGCTTTCGCTGCTCGCGCTCAGGCGTGCAGCTCAAGGCTCCACTCCAGACTAACTCACGATCTCTCACGCAAGCAATGGCCGCCACTGCTGCTGCTGCTGCGTATCTCCCCTAGCAGTCACTCTCAACATACTTGGCAGCTGCTGTGTCTCGGTAGTTGCGTTCACATTTTCCTTGTCCTTTTACGCTGGCGCTGCTGTATGTCTGCATCTCAGCTGGTTGTCCGTTAGCGTTGTCTTCTCCTCTTCTTGGCGTATATACAGTTTCTGAAACTAAACAAATTCGGAGAAGCTTTGACTTTCTGCTTTTTGGATACACGTTGCATGAGCGAGAGCATTTTGTAACATGGAGACCATTTTGCCTCGTTACAAACCCTTCCCTTCTAGGCGCGAGCACCTCTGGCTGCTTAAAAGCCGATTTTATCAGCATGCTCTCGCTGACGCAGTCCTTCAGAAAGTAATAAATAAGAGGAGATGTACTTACATTGTCCTTTTTAGAATGGTAGTCCTGTGATTGTCCAGTGACATCTCCTTGGTGGCATCCATCTGATATTTGGTCAGCACCCAATCCTTGGAATGGTCCCGGTCGTAGTCTTCAGCTGCTTAACTTGTCCTTCCATTTGTTCTGTTTTCGAAGTTTGTGTGTTCGAGTTTCTGGTGGTTTCCTTGTAGTCTGGCATCGCTGAAGGCTATCTCTGTCTTAAGCTTATCCATCTTTCCTCTTAGTTTCTTGCAGTTTCTACACGTTTTGAAAGGGCATCTGGAGGTGTGATAATTTTGGCAACCTCTACAGGGTATACTCATCTTCAGACAATGACGTGCCAAATGTCCCCTCTCTCTACATGCAAGATATTGGATCTGATTACACTGGATAAGTCGGTGTTCTACACTTCTACAAATGAAGCAGATCCCGTGGACTAGGCTCTTGGATCCATGTATAGCTGGCTGAGTGTGTACTACTGTCACTGAGCTTGTAGTTTGTCTCCACGCCAGCTTATTAGTCCAGTCTGGTCTAGTCATCTTTGAGATGAATCCAGGTGTCTGTCTTCGAGCTTCCACGTGGACTTGTGTCCTAATGGCAGCAAGCTAAGCGTATGCGTCCTCATGGCTTGGATTGAGTAGTAACTTGGCCGTGAGCGGGTCTGGGTCTAAACTGACCTGCCTATTGGGCCGGTAATCGTTGGTTTAAATTCTGCTTTTTAGAGAAGCTTGATACAGACTTCTGAATCGTCCTAGCAATTTGGCTACTCTCAAGATCCTTGTCCTTAGCGTGGAGTTCAAGTACACGGCATCTTGAACTTGCATGGTTTCTGGTCCTGGAGGAGGCTGATACCGTTTATCCAAGTCCTTTTGACTCTCCCAACACCGTTAATAATTCTCTATGTCCTAAAAATCGCAGAGTTACTTATCTGCCATGGCTTATTTAGTACTCCGGTAGGAGATTTTGGTAAGCCCTATAGGCTAATGTCCTCTCTGACAGGGAAAATTTAAATTTTGAGGCAATGTACCAGAAGTTGGTGAGAAATACTAAGATTTTCTAAGCCTTGCCTTGAGTCTGGGCATATAAGTCCTGGAGTAAGTCCTCTTTCTGGTGCTCCCCGCCAAATTGCCTCTTAAAAGATTCGCAAAACGCGGTCCAGTCCCCAAAGTCCTGTTTATTGGTCCTAAACCAGCGCGCAGCTCGTTTGAGCAGGACGCACGGTAGAGCTCTCAGAAGAGCTTGGTCCCTTATGCCTTAGCTAGCCCGACAGTCCCCTAAGCAGTCCAGAAAGTCCTCTGGGTCCTCCACGCGCTTTTCATCGGTATGGCGCAGTCCCCATTTCTGCAGAGCTTTGACGGCCTGAGCTTGGGTGGCCTTCTTTATAGGGTTGCTCTGCGGCCTTCGGTCCTCACGATTGCCAGCATGCATTGGAGGTCCTTGTTTGTCAGTGCGATGGTCTGCTGAACTCCTTGGGAAGACGCTGACACATCTTGGATCCTGCTATTAAGATTACCATTGGGGGGACCGACTTCGGTGTCCTTCATCCTGGGCTAACCCAAGGGGCTCGGGGTGCCAATCCTTCTCAGCCTTTCTGCCCATAGGATCGTCTGCCCACCGCTTTAAGTAAAAAGTCCAACTTGTCCGGTAAACTCTCGAGTGATTCAGTGGCGGTGATTGTACTCGGCTCGACTCTTTGCTAGCCCCGTAAAGGTCTTTGTCCTATGGGTTGCAGCGGCTTAGGGGCATATCGTTTCCCGAAAGCAGCCTTCGTTCATTCTTCAGGTCGTCCAATGTAACTTTAGGTGTGACTGGTGCAGGAAAGTTGTGTCTTGGTAAGGATGTCCTGTTGCCTCTTCTCCGACTCCTGGCCATCTGCAATTCGTCCACGTCTGACTCCCCGCATCAGTACTTCAAGGCCGGCTCTGTTGACACCGGCTCGACAGCCACCAAGTGGCACAGTGCTGGAACGGACGAACTTGGCTCATGCTTATTAGCCTGGGCTTCACTCGCTCCAGCAGACGCGTCAGGATTTCTCCTATACGGCACGGGGGGGATCACAGTGAACACAGCGCTCTCCGCTTGGAGCAGGCTCTGCGTTTTAAACGGGGAACCCGTTAGTCCTACGATTGTTAAGTCCTCCATACCAGTGCAATAATATTCCATGTAGGGTACCACAAGCCTATTAACTGTTACTCATGGCATAGGAGACGGCGTCTAGTAAGGGTTCAGGGGCTTGATTACCTTACAATATGGGCCGATGGCTTTTCCTGCTTGTGAGAGAGTCGTCACTGGCCTGGTTATGGTCCACATAGTTGTGGTCGAGGTAGCAGTCGCGCAAGAGGTAGCAGCGACTACTCGAGGGTATTTTCCACATTTGCCACGCCAGGCAAGTGGCCCTCTCATATCTACCAGTCTTAGCCCTGGTATCGCCATCTTGGGCCCAACAATATCTACTAAGTCTAACCTTCACCGAAGTACAGAGACTCAGGGGACTAGCTGATTCAGCACAGTCACACGGCTCACGTATGTCCGGGTATAGAGACTCAGAGATCCAAGATTCCTCAGCCAGATAAACCTAGATTACGTATGTCCTACGAGTATAACTATCTGTGCTATTGCCCTTCCATTCGCTAATCACAACACACAAAAATAAAAAAATATAAAACTGTAATAATACATCAAATCGCACTGGCTCGTCCCTTCAATAAGCTGCACAAACACTTAGCTACTTGCACTGTCCCTAACAAAACACCACCTACCACTAAGACTAATTTTCACTAACACTCTCTACACTTATAAAAATAAAGATTATAAGGATCCGCGCGCCACCCCACAAGGGATGTTATTTTGTAACAATGCTTCTTGACCTAAAACCAAAAGAGGTGCCGACGCAGCATTAGCAAATCTCGATCACGTTCATCACCTTTGTCCCTCTCACCTCTTGGGTTTCTTCTGCTAAAAAAAGGGGATTGGTGCGGAAGTACTATTGTTCTACGGGGAGAACTATTAATTAAACATACAACAAATACCTTTAACTATTTCTATATTTAATCACTTACTCTAATGCACAGTATCTCGGTACACAATACACTACACAATGCTTTACCTTATCCCCTGGACTGCGCCGCAGCGACTTTGTCTTGTACCTCACAAGCCACGAGCTCTTGTCAACCACGTCCTGCCCCTCCTGGACCGAGAGGGGCTCTTACTCGTTTAAGACCCACACTAACATACACACACTTACACTCCGTCCACAATCCTAGACCCTAATATATTCTCTCTCTCCCTCTCTCGGATTTTTTTGGCACAGCAGTTTCTCCATTTATACAAGGCAATTAAAGGAGTAGGTCTTACTAATGATTTAAAAATTTAACAACTGGACACCTAAGTAAGCACAAATGCTACCCGAATAAGCGATCTTAAAAAGCAAAACGCTGATTTGCGCGCGGAACTTGAACGGGTCAAAGACTTACAACGTAATACAGAGTGTTCATGCAAACTTAAGATTACTGGCCTGCCCGCTTCTCTTAACATGAACGCCCGTGAATTTATAAATAGCGTCTTAACTCTGTTCAACCTACAATCACTTTTAAAGGATGTTATATACTGTCGGCAATTAATTGGCAAGCAAGCAGACGGTGCAGCTGCTGCTGCTGGACAAATTCCAAATACGCTTATTGTAACCTTCAAGTCCAGTGTGGTGCGTGATTATGTACTTCGAGCAAAAAAATCATTGGGCGATTTGAAATTTAGTGCGATTTACTCCGATTC